GTCTGGCACATTTTCAGGTTTGTCTTAAGACTATCCTTATACCTTTTCAGTTGCCCGCCAGTATTTTGTTTACTATTCGTTAGGTGACTATAAAGTAGCTGTTTTGGCAGTCTACTGTCGTCCATGCGGGTAACATGGCCAGTCCAGCGTAGTTGTTCATGGATAATGGTAGCCTCGATGCTCCTACAGTTGGTGTTAGCAACAATACTAGCATTTGTTCTCTTGTCTTCCCAGCAAACTCGGAGAATGGAACGTAGACTACGTTGGTGAAAGTTTTCAAGTGTCTTGAGGTGCCTCCTGTATGTGACCCATGTCTCGCTGCCAAAAAGCAGGGTGGGGAGGACCACTGCTTGATATACATGCAGCTTTGTAGATAATTTCAGCTCCCTACAGCAGAAGACCCGGGTACGGAGTCTGCCAAAGGCTTGAGATGCACATCTGATCCGATGCTGAATCTCCTCATCGATGTCAACAGTGGTGGACAGGTGGGAGCCGAGATACCGAAAGTGAGTAACATTAGAAAGGGTAGTACTGTAAAGGTGGGTGGATGGTGGAGGTGTGGCTGAACCAGGGGCAGGCTGAAAGAGAGTCTGAGTCTTATGTACATTCACCTCAAGGACGAAGTGTGCCTACGCATCTGTGTAGGTGTTCAGGATCTTCTGTAGGTCACGTTCAGTGTGAGCGACAAGGGTGAGGTCGTCTCCCGGAAGTTGCCGACACATTCGTTCCTGCCTGGAGTCGACTTACGTTGAAAAGACCCTTCATCTGGTACTTGATGTCCACCCCGCAGGTTAGATTGGCACTGTCGTGATTAAGGAAGGCAGCCAAGAAAATGGAAGAGAGTTGGTGCCAGTACACACCCTTGTTTAACCCCCGTTCAGATGGGGAAGAACTCAGACTAGGTGCCATTGTGCAGGACACTGTCGTTCATGCCATCGTGGAGCTGCCTCACAATGGCGCTGAATTTTGGTGGTCTGCCAAAACAGCTGAGGGTCCACCAGAGGGCTTCCCTGTTAACCGAGCCGAAAGCCTTGGTTCGGTCGATGAAAGCCATGTACAGGTCAAAATGCTGTTCTCTGCACTTTCTCTGTATCAGGCGAGAAGCAAAGATCATGTCAGTGGTGTCACGTGAGGGTCTAAAGCCACATTGAGATTCAGGGAAGAAGTTTTCCGCCTTTGGAAGACGTCTGTTCAGGAAAACTTTGGCGATAATCTTGCCAACTACGGACAGCAGCGAGATCCCACAGTAGTTGCCACAGTCTGACCGGTCTCCCTTGTTCTTATAAATATTGACGACGGAGGCGTCTTTAAGAGCTTGGGGGATTTCCTCCGTTTCCCATAAATTCTCCAGGAGAGAGAAGAGACGGCAGGTAAGTAGAGGTCCTCCTGTATTATACACCTCGGCTGGGATTCCATCAGGCCCTGAGGCTTTGTTATTTTCCATCTGTTTGATGGCAGTACCTACCTCATCCAGGGATGGAGGATAGCTGAGGTGGGTCAGCTCTGGATGCTGAGGGACCTGCTGGGTAGTCAGGACATCCACATCGGTGTTTCAGTTAAGCAGTGAATGGTAGTGCTTTTTCCAGCGCTGTAGGATGCCTTCTTCGTCTTTAATTAGGGAGTTACCACCGGACGAGTGGAGGGGGGCTGCGCCATGAGTGATTGGCCCATAAAATGTTTTAGTGGAATTGAAAAATTCACGCATCTTGTGCTGATCTGCAAGTTTTTGTGCTTCACATGCTTTATTGTTAAATCAGTCATTCTTTAGATTAAGAAGTTCCCGCTGGGATGCCACTTGCTTCTTGCGGAAGGTATCAGCTTTGGTCCGAGACTGAGGGTTGTTCTGTCAAGTCAGTTAAAGCAGCACGTTTATCGTCGACGAGTACATTGATTGCCGGGTCATTTTCATCAAACCAGTCCTGGTGTATTCTTCGATCTGGCTGAGGGTCTTCTGCAGGGTATTGTCATGACAGTGTCGAGAATACCCCATTCGGCACTGGGATTTGGGTTGTTTGTTGTCGGGTTGTTTATCAGCCCATGTTCGAGCTGCTCTCTGAAAGCATGTGCTACCGCTGGATCCTCCAGACGCTTAGTGTTAAAACTTCTTCTGGAGGCTTGTTGCCATCGCCGTTTTGGGGCGACGTGAAGTGAGAGCTTGGTCCTGACGAGCCGATGATCAGTGTCGCAGTGGTCTGAGCCAAGCATGGCACGGGTGATGAGGACACCTCGGCGATCTCTTTCTCTGACAATGATGTGGTCAATGAGATGCAAGTATTTGGATCGTGGGTGTTGCCACGAACCCTTGAACTTGTCGGCCTGCCTAAACAAGGTATTGGTGATAGTGAGGTTGTGAGCAGCACACTTGCTGAGGAATAGACCGTTGGCATTACACTTGCCTAGTCCATTTCTCCCTATGATTCCCTGCCAAATGTCAGCATCTCTGTCAACTCTGGCATTAAAGTCACCAAAGAGCACAACCTTGTCTTCTCTGGGAATAGAGGTTAGCACTATGTCAAGGTCGGCATAAAAGAACTCCTTAATGTCATCCTTCGCATCCATTGTTGGGGCGTATGCACTGATGAAGAAGGCATGACGTGAGTGATTCATTGGGACTCGAAGCGTTATGAGGTGCTCGTTGATCCCAACAGGCATTTCAGTTAGCATGTGTAGGATGCGTTTGCGGATGGCAAAACCAACTCCATAAATGCAGTTTCTCTCCACAGCAGGCTTACCCTTCCAGAGGAAGGTGTAGCCAGACCCTCGTTCTGTGAGTCGACCCCCGTCTGGGAGCAGTGACTCACTAATGACTGCTATGTCGATGTTATACCTCGCCAGCTCTTTTGCCACAAGGGCGGGTCTTTTTTCAGGACGCTCATTTGTGCCAGTATCCAGAAGGGTCCTGACATTCCATGCAGCGACCACAAGAGGCTGTATGGTTTGTTTTTGTTTGGATCTGTGATTTTGGTTGTGTTTTCGACTGCATGAGGATGACCTTACTGGGTGCGGTTGTCCAGTCAGGTTGGTTCTTTAGGCAGGCTATTATTTAGGGCACCTTTTCTAGCCCCCCTCCCCATGTGGGGTGAGCAGAGTGGCTCCTCGGAAGGGCTGATCAGTCTCACAGACAGGACCGGATTGCACTGCTGCCTAGATCCCAGTACATAAATGACCATCTTATCTGTGCCGCCCATGTACAGAGTTGTGACTAGAGACTCCTGGCAGTCATCTCTGCCTGTCTCCATCGCCACTCGTCCGTCGCCATAGGACTTTTGGGGGTATAGGGGTTTTGATGATGATGAGAGTTATGATGAGCTGAGTGATGGCTGCACGTGAGTTGATTTATGTGGTGAGGCAGGAGCGCAGGCTGCAGCCACACATCTTGGCTCTCCCCTTTCCCTGATCCAGTGGTGGAAGTGTTGCAACGACTGGGGAGAGGAAGAGTTACAGTGGACTACCGATAGCCCAGTTTGTTGGGTTTTGCCTTAGTAGCCTGTCCATCAGGCTTTGCCGTCGTCCGCCGGTGTAGTCGTTGATTACCTCTTCCGCCTATACCGCCGCTGAGGTCTTGTTGGAGCTCTGTAAGCATGTCTGCCTGATGCGGGGCTCCAACACAGATTTTTCAATCGGGTTTTACTCCCGTAGCCTTATACCTACCAAGGTTATCCGCAGGGCAGATACACACCACCACCCTACCTCACACACACACACACACACACACACACACACACACACACACACACACACACACACACACACACACACCCTAACACACACACACCACCACCCTACCACACACCCACCACCCTACCCCACACCACCACCCCACCTCACACACACACACACCAACACACACACCACCAACACTACCACACACACCACCACCCCACCACACACACCACCAACCCCACCTCACACACCACCACCAACCCCACCTTCACCAACCAACCCACCACACACCCACCCCACCACAACACACCACCACCCCTACCACACACACCCCACCCCACCACACCACACACACCAACCCCACCACACACACCACCAACCTACCCCACACACAACCACCAACCACCCCACACACACCACCACCCTACCCCACACACACCACCAACCCTACCACCAACACCACACCCCACCACACACAACCACAACCCCACCACACACACCCCACCCCACCACACACACCACCCCCTACCACACCACCACCCTTACCTCACACACCACCACCCTACCACACACACACACACACACACCACTGCCCTACCACACACACCACCACCACACACACACACACCACCACCCTACCACACACACCACCACCCTACCACACACACAAAGGCCATCCAAAATTTCACCTTCACACACTTTCTTAATCTTGTGTTTCATAAGTGAGGGTGATTAAGGCAATATTGAAACACCTTATTGATAAAGGTTTCGTAAAAAGTAAGGTTTGGTTAGGTTAGGTTTGGTTAGGTTAGGTTAGGTTAGATTAGGTTAGGTTAGATTTAGGTTAGGTTGGGTTAGTTAGGTTAGGTTAGGTTAGGTTAGGTTTGGTAATTTAGGTTAGGTTAGATTTTAGGTTGGTGTTAGGTTAGATTGGGTTAGGTAGTTTAGATTAGGGTTAGGTTAGGTTAGGTTAGGTTAGGTTGCTTCAGTGTTTGTGGATATATATATTGTGGTTGTTTGTAGTTCAGTTTAATTATGGTTGTTGAGGTTGTTTGGCATTTCAATAATTAGATCACCTGTGTGGTATAGTAATCTCTTCTCTCTCCATCACTAACATAACAAAGCCTAATTATAAACCTGAGCCATATTTAAAGATGAGCTGAACTAGACTGGGTGATGGGGCAATATCACACACACACACACACACACACACACACACACACACACACACACACACTGAAGAAGAGCAGGTCATTGTCTACACTGTCTACCTGGAGGGTGGGACTAACAGGGCACAGAACCGCCCACCTTCACTCTCAGCCAATCAAAGCGCAAGGATGAGTACCAGCCAACCAATGGGACCTCTCAAGAAGGATACCCAGGGCGGGGCTAAGGCACTTGAGGGAACAAATGTGAGGAGAGCATCAGTAGTGCATGAGCTGGTGCGGAGTGTAGACCCCCACCGTCCCTCCTGTTATAAGTGAATCACCTGACACTCAACGTTCTACCGCCACCCCCGCCTTTTTTAAACCCAATGGAATAGATCTGAGAGGCCCCACGCCCACCCTGGATCCACGCCCCCACGCCCACAGACACCCTGGACCCGCGCCCCCTCACCCACGCCTGTCTAGGGAGCCCGTACACGACCAGTCAGATGCAGGAAATTATACAAATGTGCAGGTAAGTCATGATGTCGACTACAGTACCCCAGGTGTCGACTATAGTGCCCCAGGTGTCGACTACAGTACCCCAGGTGTCGACTACAGTACCCCAGGTGTCGACTATAGTACCCCAGGTGTCGACTACAGTACCCCAGGTGTCGACTATAGTACCCCCAGGTGTCGACTATAGTACTCAGGTGTCGACTATAGTACCCCAGGTGTCGACCTTAACCTAACCTAACCCAAAAAATCGTAACTAGATTTCTTTACCGCGAGAAAAACAGTAACATTAACCTCCTATCATTCATACACGTAAACAAACAACAACAAACACAACAACAACAACAACAACAAACACAACAACAACAACAACAAACACAACAACAACAACAACTACTCAGACTAACATACACACACCTCAGGCTTGTTGAACACTTGAGTAAAAAAAAGAACAAATATTGAGCCAAAATTCTACAGATGAGGAATTGTTTGGTGTTTTGTTTACTGAGAGAAGGGGGCTGAGTGAGAGAAGGGGGTGAGGGGGGGGGGCTGAGTGGAGAGAAGGGGCTGGGGGGGGGTGGGGGGGGGGGGGGGGGTGGGGGGGCTGAGGGGAGAAGGGGTGAGGGAGAGAAGGGCTGGAGGAGAGAGGGGGTGAGGGAGAGAGGGGTGGGGGAGAGGGGGGTGAGGAGAGAAGGGGCTGAGGAGAGAGGGGGGGCTGAGGGAGAGAGGGGCTGAGGGAGAGAGGTGGGGGGGGTGAGGAGAGAAGGGGCTGAGGAGAGAGGGGGCTGAGGGAGAGAGGGGGGGGCTGAGGGAGAAGGGGCTGAGGAGAGAGGGGGTGAGTGGAGAGAAGGGGCTGAGGGAGAGGGGGCTGAGGGGAGAGGGGGGCTGAGTGAGAGAGGGGGTTGAGGGGGGTGAGGGAGAGAGGGGGTGAGGGGAGAGGGGCTGAGGGAGAGAAGGGCTGAGGGAGAGAAGGGGGCTGGGAGAGAGAGAGAGAGAGAGACGATGTAGTGATGATGGTGATGTGATGATGATGATGATGATGATGATGATGATGATGGACACCGGTGATGGTGAATGAGTGACTTCAACTCCTCGTAAATAGTGAGCCGCTGCCACACACCAGGTCAGTCTCCCAGGTCCCAGGTCCCCCAGGTCCCAGTCCCAGGTCCCCAACAGGTCCCAGTCCCAGGTCCCCAAACAGGTCCCAGTCCCAGGTCCCAACAGGTCCCAGTCCCAGGTCCCCAACAGGTCCCAGTCCCAGGTCCCCACAGGTCCCAGTCCCAGGTCCCCACAGGTCCCAGTCCCAGGTCCCCAACAGGGTCCCAGTCCCAGGTCCCCAACATGTCCCAGTCCCAGGTCCCCAAACTGTCCCAGTCCCAGGTCCCCAACAGGTCCCAGTCCCAGGTCCCCAACAGGTCCCAGTCCCAGGTCCCCAACAGGTCCCAGTCCCAGGTCCCCAACAGGTCCCAGTCCCAGGTCCCCAACAGGTCCCAGTCAGGGTCCCAAACATGTCCCAGTCCCAGGTCCCCAACAGGTCCCAGTCCCAGGTCCCCAAACATGTCCCAGTCCCAGGTCCCCAACAGGTCCCAGTCCCAGGTCCCCAACAGGTCCCAGTCCCAGGTCCCAACAGGTCCCAGTCCCAGGTCCCCAACAGGTCCCAGTCCCAGGTCCCCAAACAGGTCCCAGTCCCAGGTCCCCAAAGGTCAGGTCCCAAACATGTCCCAGTCCCAGGTCCCAACAGGTCCCAGTCCCAGGTCCCCAACAGGTCCCAGTCCAGGTCCCCAACAGGTCCCAGTCCCAGGTCCCCAACAGGTCCCATTCCAGGTCCAAGGTCCCAGGTCCCCAACAGGTCCCAGTCCCAGGTCCCCAAACATGTCCCAGTCCCAGGTCCCAACAGGTCCCAGTCCCAGGTCCCCAAACAGGTCCCAGTCCCAGGTCCCCAACAGGTCCCAGTCCCAGGTCCCCAAACAGGTCCCAGTCCCAGGTCCCCAACAGGTCCCAGTCCCAGGTCCCCAACAGGTCCCAGTCCCAGGTCCCCAACAGGTCCCAGGTCCCACAGGTCCAGTCCCAGGTCCCCAACAGGTCCCTCCGGTCCCCAGGTCCCAGTCCCAGGTCCCCAACATGTCCCAGTCCCAGGTCCCAAACGCAGTCCCAGGTCCCAGGTCCCACTCCCAGGTCCCCAACAGGTCCCAGGTCCACCCCCCAGGTCCCCAAAGGTCCCAGGTCCACAGGTCCCAGGTCCCACTCCCATGTCCCCAACAGGTCCCAGGTCCCACCCCAGGTCCCCAACAGGTCCCAGGTCCCACTCCCAGGTCCACCTCCACCCGGGGTCTGGCCACAGGGTTACTATAACAGGTTCTCCTCAACTCAAGCTTGGGACGGCCTGAAATTAGCCCCCACCACCACCCACCCCTAGCTTATTTCACCTGATGATTAAGCTCCCACCTCACCCCCACCACCACCACCCCAAGCTTATTTCACCTGATGATTAGCTCCCCACCCCCACCACCACCCACCCCAAGCTTATTTCACCTGATGATTGAAAACATTAGCGCTATCTGGGAGCTTAGATTAGATTAGGTTAGGTTAGATTACCGTAGGTTAGGTTAGGTTAGGTTTACGTTAGGTTAGATTAGTTTAGGTTAGGTTAGTTTAGATTAGATTAGGTTAGGTTAGGTTAGATTAGGTTAGGTTAGGTTAGATTAGTTTAGGTTAGGTTAGTTTAGATTAGATTAGGTTAGGTTTACGTTAGGTTAGGTTAGGTTTACGTTAGGTTAGGTTTACGTTAGGTTACCATAGAGTATTTAACCACCAGATGACCTAAACAGCGGTGACTAATCCACAAACTATCCCAAGCTGTTGTTTTTTTTTCCACCATTAAACTGAGGGAGAGACAAAGAGCGTCCCCTCAACTCTGGTATTTAAATGTTCAGTAGAGTGACTAAGGCAGGTAAATGGTCAAGGCCGAACACAGGAAAGACGCTAATGTTTGGAGAAATGTTCAATGTTTTTCACCGGTACTGAAGGTGTGTGTGTGTGTGTGTGTGTGTGTGTGTGTGTGTGTTTGTCTAGTTGTGTTCAGGTGGATGAGTGACTGTGAGTGTCTTACATGTGAGTGACTATCATGTGTGAGTGACCGTCATATAACAAACTCTCCGTTACTTATTATTATTATTATTATTATTATTATTATTATTATTACTATTATTATTATTATTATTATTATTATTATTATTATTATTATTATTTTACTATTACTATTATTATTATTACTATGACTATTATTATCAGTATTATCTACACATACACATATACACAGGTATAAAGAATATTGATATAAATAAATCAAACCAAATAATAACAGAGACGAGTTTCATAAGCTGTTCATGTAGTTAATATTCCTACCTCCTGTTACCTACTCCCTGCATTCCTACCTCCTATTCCTACCTCCTGTATTCCTACCTCCTGTATTCCTACCTCCTGTATTACTCACCTCCTGTATTCCTACCTCCCACCTACCCACTGTATTACTTACCTCCTGTATTCCTACCCCTGTATTCCTACCTCTGTATTTCTCACCTCTGTATTCCTACTCCTGTATTCCACTCCACTGTATTCCAACTCCTGTATACCTACCCTATGTCCCTACCCTGTATTACCCACCCACTGTATTCCCACCCACTGTATACCCACCCACTGTATTCCTACCTCCCATACCCACTCCCTGTATCCCCACCTCCTGTATTCCTACCTGCATTCCTACCCTCCATTCCCCACCCACTGTATTACCCACCTCCTGTATTCCTACCTCCTGTATTCCCACCTGTATTTCCCACCTGCATTCCCACCCCAGACACTCCACCCACTGTATTCCACCCTGCATTCCACCCACTGTATCTCAATCCTGTATTACCCACCCACTGTATTCCTACCTCCTGTATTCCTACCCACTGCACTACTACCTCCTGTATTCCTACCTCCTGCATTCCTACCCTGCATTTCACCTCCTGTATTCCCACCTCCTGCACACCTACCCACTGTATTCCTACCTCCTGTATTCCCACCTACTGTATTCCTACCTCTGTATTACCTACTTATCATTCCTACCTCCTGTATTCCTACCTCCTGTATTCCTACCTACTGTATTCCTACCTCCTGTATTCCTACCTACTGTATCCCTACCTCCTGTATTCCTACCTCTATCCTACCTCCTGTATTCCTCTCTACATAAACCAAAACCTTATTACCGACAAAAATATCTAAGACTTTAACTAAAAATAATTTCAGTCTTAAAACATAAACTTAATACCTAAAAAAACCTAAAACTTTAATTAAAACAATAAAAAAACAATAAAACACCCAAAGTAAACATTAATCTTACCTAAAACACTTTAAAAAAAAACACGCCTAAAACATTAATTAAAACAATCCCTTAAACCAGGTAGACAACACCTTAATGGTAGGTTTAATTACACCAATACTTAACGAGCCAACCAGAATTATATAGTAATTTAGTTAATGGCCTTGTGTGTGTGTGTGTGTGTGTGTGTGTGGGGTGGTTACTCTTAGCTGCCATTATCACCCAATCAAACAACAACACGTGTCTCTCTCTCTCTGGACACACACACACACACACACACACACACAGACACACACACACACAGACATACACACTTGGGACTATCACATAACATTAGTGCTACTTACAATAAAAAAATATTATTATTATCATTATTATCATCATCTTGTATATAAAGCGAGAAATTAAACTTTTTTTTTTGGTCAGAAGTAAATATAATTAATGGGCGGTGGTGGAGTGTTTACAATACTGCAATGGTAGACTAAGAGTTCCCTGGTTCGATCCCACGTACAGGGGATGAAAGGCGGCACAGGTCTTATAAAAATCTATCTATATATCAGGGTTGTCTAGAGATAAAGAAGTGAGTGTGTGGGTGTTCCGGAGCAGGGGGTGAGGGGAAGGAGGGGGGAAGAGGAGGGGGGAAGGGGAAGGAGGGGGGAAGGGGATGGGGAGATACCGGGAGAGTCTGGAAATATGAGTAAAAAATGACCTTAGTGGAACGGTGAGCCATCGTCACACATCTGGCACCCTAGCCTGATGTCATCGTGTATCCGGCACCTAAATCGTTATATATCCGGCACCACCAGTCTTCTACGTCATACATCCGGCACCAAACGTCTAAGTCGCTATACATCCGGCACCCATGTCTGATATCGTCGTACATCCGGCACCCATGTCTGATATCGTCGTACATCCGGCACCAAACGTCTAAGTCGCTATACATCCGGCATCCAAGTCTTAAGTCGTCGTACATCCGGCATCCCTGAGAGAGAGAGAGAGAGATAGAGAGGAAAGAGAGAGAGAGAGAGAGAGAGAGAGAGAGAGAGAGAGAGAGAGAGAGAAAGAGAGGAGAACAAAATGGGGAAGAGAAAGGGTAAGGGAAGCGAGTGGAGAAGGAAGGAGGGAAGGAGGGAAGAGAAAAGGAAGGAGGGAGAGGCAGAGAGAAACAGTAGGTAGAGGAGGTACAGTAGAGGACGTCCTTGGCTGCTCACATCACTCTGGGAATGTTGTGAGGGTCGTGGAGCTGCGTATGTGAGGCTGTTGGTAACCACGGCCCTGTACTGACTTAACCATGGCCCTGTAGTACTGATCTAACCAAGGCCCTGTACTGACTTAACCACGGCCCTGTAGTACTGACCTAACCACGGCCCTGTAGTACTGATCTAACCATGGCCCTGGTATATTGATCTAACCATGGCCCAGTACTGACCCAAACCAAGGCCCTGTACTGACCTAACCACGGCCCTGTACTGATCTAACCATGGCCCTGTACTGATCTAACCATGGCCCTGTAGTACTGATCTAACCATGGCCCTGTAGTACTGACCTAACCATGGCCCTGTACTGACCTAACCACGGCCCTGTACTGATCTAACCATGGCCCTGTACTGATCTAACCATGGCCCTGTAGTACTGATCTAACCATGGCCCTGTAGTACTGACCTAACCACGGCCTCTGTACTGACCTAACCACGGCCCTGTACTGACTTAACCACGCCCTGTACTGACCTAACCATGGCCTCTGTATTGATCTAACCATGGCCCTGTACTGATCTAACCATGGCCCTGTAGTACTGATCTAACCACGGCCCTGTAGTACTGACCTAACCACGGCCCCAGACTGACCTAACCACGGCCCTGTACTGATCTAACCATGGCCCTGTAGTACTGATCTAACCATGGCCCTAGTACTGATCTAACCACGGCCCTGTACTGACCTAACCACGGCCCTGTACTGATCTAACCATGGCCCTGTACTGATCTAACCATGGCCCTAGTAGTTGATCTAACCATGGCCCTGTAGTACTGACCTAACCATGGCCCTGTACTGACCTAACCACGGCCCTGTACTGATCTAACCATGGCCCTGTACTGATCTAACCATGGCCCTGTAGTACTGATCTAACCATGGCCCTGTAGTACTGGCCTAACCAAGGCCCTGTACTGACTTAACCACGGCCCCTGACTGACCCAACCACGGCCCTGTACTGACTTAACCACGGCCCTGTAGTACTGATCTAACCATGGCCTGTACTGACTCTAACCACGGCCCTACTGACTTAACCACGGCCCTGTAGTACTGATCTAACCATGGCCCTAGTACTGACCCAACCACGGCCCTGTACTGATCTAACCATGGCCCTGTAGTACTGATCTAACCACGGCCCTGTAGTACTGACCTAACCACGGCCCTGTACTGACCTAACCACGGCCCTGTACTGACTTAACCACGGCCCTAGTACTGACCTAACCACGGCCCTTGTACTGATCTAACCATGGCCCTAGTAATTGGACTCCAACCACGGCCCTGTAGTACTGACCCAACCACGGCCCTCAGTAATGACTTCCAAGGCCCTGTAGTATGACCTAACCACGGCCCTGTAGTACTGACCTAACCACGGCCCTGTAGTACTGACTTAACCACGGCCCTGTAGTACTGACCCAACCAAGGCCCTGTACTGATCTAACCACGGCCCTGTAGTACTGACCCAACCACGGCCCTGTAGTACTGATCCAACCATGGCCCTGTAGTACTGACTCAACTACGGCCCTGTAGTACTGACCTAACCATGGCCCTGTACTGATCTAACCATGGCCCTGTAGTACTGACTCAACCACGGCCCTGTAGTACTGACTCTAACCACGGCCCTGTAGTACTGACTCAACCAAGGCCCTGTACTGATCTAACCACGGCCCTAGTACTGACTCAACCACGGCCCTGTAGTACTGATCTAACCATGGCCCTGTAGTACTGACCTAACCACGGCCCTGTAGTACTGACCTAACCACGGCCTGTACTGATCTAAC